CTATCCCCCTCTCTCTCCCTCCCCCTCTCTCTCTTGCCCTCTTCTCTTTCTTTCCCTCTCTCTCTCCCTCTGTCCCTCTCCTTTTTCTTTCTCTCTCTCTCTCCTCTCTCTCCTCTCTCTCACTTGTATGTTTTGACAAATAACCTTTTTGATTGATTGATTGATTGCTTGATGAATCAATTAATTGATTGACTGATTGATTGAAGGTCTTTGGACTGGGCAGCACCCTCGTCTGTCTGCTGATGTCGCTCTCCATCATCGTCGGAAACGTCGCCGTGCTGAGAAGGGTCGGCAGAACCGGGAGGCCCCGAGACCGTGCCCACTTCTCCATCGCGAACCTGGCGCGCTCAGACCTGCTGTCGGGCTGCGGCCTCCTGGCGTACACAGCTGCCGTGCTGACGCGCAGCTCACATCACAGGTTTCTTAATGTTTTTAATGTTAAAAGTTTATTGAAATTCGTGCCCGGAGGCTAATTGCAAATTACAAAACATAAAAGAACAATGAAATAGAGTATGAAATAACTAAAGTCTACATGATAAAGGTAGCTGTCTAGAACTATAGCTATGTCTAAAACTATGTCTGAAGGGTTTGACTTCTCTTCTGTAAACCATGGAAGACGTAATGTCCCACCTTTTCCAAAATTTGTGGGTTTTGGGAAGTTAAAAGAAGAATATTTTTTCTTGGTCTGTAAGTATAATATACAATATTTCTGTGAATGGGTACCTACAACTTCTGTTTGGGAAAGTCGTATTGAGGTCACCTTGTGGCGCCGAATGGCAGCCGCGCAGACCCTTGCGACAATTCCACAAAAAATTTGAAGCATATGTGTATCAGGTGTATTATTTGATTGTTGTAATTGTTGTGATTTGTATTGATTATTATGTGATACCCTGCATCAATTCAGCCGTATAAAGGCTGCGATTGCACGGGTAGTGTTTGGCCAATAAAAAACATTTATTTATTTATTTATTTATTTATCACAGGGTGATGCAGGGCCTCACGTTCCTAATGTTCAGCCAGGTCATGTCGGCATTAGGCCTCACCCTCATGTCCCTAAACAGCTATCTCGCGATCAAGTGCCCCATCTTCGTGTTCGTCCACGCCGAAGACCTGAACCGCTACACCGGGATACTTGTGGCGTCTTTGTGGCTTGTTCTGCCCGTGCTGTTCTCCCTGCCTGTCTCCATGGGCTGGAACTGCTTGGACGCACCGACCAAGAACTGCTTCGGCCTGTTCCACAGCGCGTTCGTCACAGCCGTGACAGCCACGGGCGCCCTGCTGGCGTGCGTCGTCTTCTTAACCAACCTGGCGACCTTCATAGCGATCAGAAACCGACCGAAGAGACCAACGCTTTCGGAAGACGAGAGAAGAGAATCGGAGGTTGGAATCGTCTAGTTGTGTACATGTATGTGTTACATGCCCTCCTTGTGTATGTGTGTGTGTGTTGTATGATCTCTCTCTCTCTCTCTCCCTCTCACTTTGTGTCGTATTGCTCTGTGTGTGAATGTGTTGTATGCTGTGTGTGTGTGTGTGTGTTTTGTATGCTGTATGTGTGTGTGTGTATGCGTGGTATACTATGTGTCTGTGTTGTATGCTCTGTGTGTGTGTGTTTTGTGTGTGTGTGTGTGTGTTTTGTATGCTCTGTGTGTTTGTGTGTTTTGTATGCTGTGTGTGTGTGTGTTGTATGCGGTGTGTGTGTGTGATGTACGCTCTGTGTGTGTGTTTTGTAAGTTGTATGTGTGTAATTTGCAACACTTGGCCCTCGGCAGGCGTCCGAATACCGGGCCAAGACTGTGATGATCCACGCAGGCGTGGCGTTCTTCTCCTGGATCGTGCCTCGCGCCCTGGTGGTCTCGTCCTGCCACTTTAACGTCGAAGACTGCCCGATGGCCGTGGAGCCAGGCGTCCTGGCCGTGCTCATGGTGTTCAACTCGGCAATCAACCCCATCGCCAGTCTCACTCGCACGCAGGGGATCTCGATAGATTTCTCAGGTACGATCTTTCTTACGCTAAAAAGCAGTTACTCAAGCAACTGGAGCAACAACTATTGATTGATATGCAAATAAGTGTCAATTGTCTCCACTTATTTGCATATCTATCAATAGTTCGTGCTTACAAACCTGCATTTCTCCTCTGTGTCACTGACGAAAGGTAGTGGATGCTACCTGAAACGTCTGACCGTTTCCTCAGTCTACTGAGGAAGACCAGAGTGACTGGTCTAAAGCTCTAGGTAAGAAAGATTTTTTTTGTGTTGGACCAAAAGTTTTAAGTGTTCAACTCGGCAATCAACCCCATCGCCAGCCTGACTCGCACGCAGGGGATCTCAATAGATTTCTCAGGTACTGTCTTTCTTCTTTCTTTTTTTTTTAGGCCATATTGATTTGATATTATGGATGACATCCTCTGAGAACCTAAAAAAATTGATATTGCATTGTAAATTAGCGATAATTCAGGTTTGTTTAAAGTGAAAACTTTTGCTCCAACACAATAAAGTTCTCTCACCTAGAGCTTTCGACCAGTCACACTGGTCAAGCCTCACTGGGTCAGTCTACCGAGGAAGACCAGAATGACTGGTGGAAAGCTCTAGGTGAGAGAATTTTATTGTGTTGGATCAAAAATTCAACTTTAAACATGTAACTACCAACACAGATGAACTTTCAGGCTAATTCAGATTTTCTGAGTCTGACAATGCTAATTAAGTTTCATATGTCTAAGCCTAGGCATCCGCCGGGTGCTCGCTACCTTGATGCCAAGAGGCCGAGTCCATCCACAGCAAGATGAGGCGCCTGTAGATGATGTTAGAGCGAATCTGGACAGCGGTGCCGCAAGTGGAAGTGAACAGAAGATGTCGGGTGGACAGACCGCCACAGGACACACGGCATGGCAAGAGCAGCAGGAGTCAGACCTCAGAAAAAGAAACTAGCCAGGCGAACGTTCTACCGTAAAGGCCCTTCCCGCACTTACTGTACCAAGGACTCTGCATATACAACCATGAAAGTAGTGCAAGCGTAACACGGGAATGAAAAAAGAAACCTACAGTGGGGATGGCGGGAGGACGAAAAATGTCCAAACTATGCATGATGTACAAGCTGATGACTAATAAGTCCATGCATCTTCGTGAGGTCGTGTCATGGCATAAACAGAATTCGGCTGAGTACCCAGGTTCCAATCCTATGATGTCACCGATCTTGTGGCCTTGGGAAATGAACTTTACACGACTTTCCTCACTTCACTCAGGTGTAGAATGGGTACTTGGCTTCGGTTAGGACGTCCCTCGGACAGGACGTTAAATGAAAGTCCCGTGTTTGGAGAGGGCACGTTAAAGAACCCACCACACCTTTCGAAAAAGAGTAGGGGTCCTTCCCGATGTCAGTGGTTCAAACCTTACATTTCAGCGCTGAGTTGTTTGCTCTTGTCGATCACAGATTGCTTAACTTAAATCTTACGGCCTTCAGTCAGATGTTCTGGCTTGGTCTAAAATCTAGCCAGACTGCAATAGACCGGTTATCTACAAACACACACAAACAAACACACACACACACACTCTCTCACACACATACACACACACTCATACACATACACTCATACACACTCACTCTCACACACACATACATACACATACACTCACGCACACACACTCTCTCTCGCACACACACACACACACAAGCACACACAAGCACATACACACACACACACACACCACAACAACCACACACACATGCACACACAGACATACACACATGCACACACACACACACACACATAGCATACACACACACACACACACACCCACGCACCCACGCACACACACACAAACATACACACTCACATCACACACACATGCACACACATACACACAAGCACACACACGCACGCACACACAAACACACACTCACACACATACATACACACAAGCACACACACACACATGCACACACACACACACACACACACACACACATGCACACACACACACAAACAAGGGAAGAAGCGATACGGGTGAGGAGAGAGAAAAATATCCAAATTTCTATCAGCTCTTTTATTGAAAAACCATAAATTGAAATCCAATAACTGTTATCCAATTAAAACCCTACCCAAACCTGCACATCAGTTTAAACAGTTACCCACAGTAGTCATAAAACACCCACTCTTCAAAACGTATCAGTATTAATGTCCCAACTTCTTCTCTATGGTACTTATTTACACACGAAGAAGTACGTTAGTTTTGGCCACACCAATTTGATTTGATGGTTCTTAGATTTTTCCTTAAAAATATATTATAGCCCCAAATGCCACGATAGGAGTCATTAAGTCAACACAAAAGGCTGGGTTGATATTCAAACAATGAATTTTGAACTTTTAATCAAACCACTGCAATGATAGATGGAAAAATAGTAGGACAAATTTAAACAAATTGACTTTCCTCAACTGATGGGAGCAAAATATGAGCATTTTTGAGTTGATTCCGAACCAGGATCTTCTTTTTTTTTTCAAATGAGAACAAAGCGAAGAGGCGAATCCGAGAACCAACAAATTAAATTGGTGTGGCCTTAAATACTCTAAAAAGACACTTTAGGCATTTCCAGTTCTATTGTCTGGTTTTCAGCCTTGTGAGCTTTTCTTTTACTACCTAAAAATAATCATAACGTGTCCAATCAACACAATTGTTTTTAAGGTAAACATTTGCAAAGCAAATGCATAATGTTTACCTTCACATGGGAATGGTCTGGCGCAAACAATTATTGTTCCGTTTATTCTTCATACAAATACATGGTGGCCAGCCCTGTCCTGCCACTTGCTACATAATGTCATCCGATACCGCAGTGTGTCTGCTGCCGCACCAGTTACCATGGTGACAGTCGCCTGGTCAAGGTTATTGACCTTACTCGTTTGGAACGGAAGAAGAAGAGACTGAGTAAAAAATAATGCTTTCCTTCTGTGAAGGTAAACGTATGCTACCGCACCAGTTACCATGGTGACAGCCGTCTGGTCAAGGTTATTGACCTTACTTGTTTATAACGGAAGAAGAAGAAACTGTGAAAAGAATAACAATGTTTTCCTTCTGTGAACTTCACACTGTAACAGTGATATTAACACACTGTTGTGACGGCTAATACACACTAAACTAGCTTGGATGCCAGCCTGGTCTGCGCTACTACGATTTTTGCCTGATTTCGGAAAAAAAAAGAAATTTTATTGCCCTCTGACACTTGTTAAAATGTCGAAAATGGGCAAAGATGTCTGTTGCGTAACATGGTTGGCAGATAAATATGAAGAGGGGAGACAAGACAAGGCTCTGATTTATTGTTTTGTCTTATACGTTGATGCAGTGATGTATTTAATTTCTTTTATATGTGATGTTCTAACTGAATCAAAACCATTTGTGCGATGATTGAAAACTGTAATTTATCTCTATTTCAGTGACAGTGTCAATGGATGTTGTAATAGCTGACAGTAAACATAGCACAATATTGGTATCATTTCTTGTTGAGCAAAATTTATGATGTCAAAATTTGTCATATATCTTGTTTTTTTTGGCCCTCCTTGTTTTTTTCGCCCGCTCGCATTAGATTTGGAGTCTACGGAGGATGTCATCCATAAAATTAAAACACCGGCATCCAGCCTGACAGGATACAGTTAATGAGGGAAGTCTTGAGTGATACAGCTGTGCTTGTAAGGCCCTTATGGCTGTTTGTAAGGAGTCAGACGTAAACACGTGTGGCGTGTGCGAGTGTCAAGGTCAAGCACAGTACAGAGGGTTAAGGTCGGTTCTATCGAATCCAAAATTGGCAGAAAAAACTGGTAAACAGCTTAATCTTTGTTTTTTGAACACGTTTCATTAAACAGTAGTTGATTGTAGGAGGATTAATATGTTGTCTAACCCTAGCAAATATTGTAAACTCAACACTTAAAAGATAAAAAGTATTCCAGTTCGTAAACCACTGCACGAAAAGTTGGATTTACCAATGGTAATAAATGCCAGTTAAGTCTGGCATTGTTTTCTTTGTAAGGCCACAGCAAGTAATTTTTATGGCTGACATGAGCGCGCGCATTAATTTTAGCCTGATTTTGGGGGAAAAAAACAAGCTGAAAACATGCCGAAAATTGGCAAAGATGTCTGGATGGCAGATAACTATGAAGAGAGGAGACAAGAAAAGGCTCTGATTTAATGTTTTGTTTCTTACTTTGACGCAGTGATATGTGATGCTGGCTGTGTATATGTGATGTTTCCACTGAATCAAAGCCATTTGCACAATGATTGAGTCAAAATTCGAAAATGTAAAAATGTAGGAACCTTGTTTTTTTTCGGTCCGCCTTGTTTTTTTTTCCGCCTGCTCGCATTAGATTTGGAGTCTGCGGAGGATGTCATCCATAAAATTTACTTGCTGTGGCCTAAACAGAACTGGACTTTACAATGGTAGGAATAAAAGTAAAGTCCAGTCATCTCAAGGGTAGTAAATGAAATTAGCGGACCTGAATTTTGTACAGTTTACAAAGTAAAAATTGCCTGACTTTTCTGGCATTTACTAACATTGGTAGATCCAACGTTGCAGGAACTAAACAAGGGGATTTAAAAACGCACATTCCCCGAGTTGTAGTGGAGAGATCAACACAAAAATAAATATACCGAAAACATTTCAAGATTAACAGTTATCCCCTTCTCCCCTCAGCTTTACATAGCCATGTGCAGTACAAGTGGTACCATATAAAATGTAACTTGTCTCTTGTTAGAAGTATCAACACAAAATTGCAACAGTAGCTTGACCCGATTCTACTGTTCAGTATATGTGGCATTCTCAGATATGTGATATGATGCTTATAATTCTGATATGTTTATCAAGTTGATATGATATTTGAGTATATCTAATAACTGTACCGGTACTTTGCCCTTAATTTTCTGTGTGCATCATTTTGAGATTTCTAGAAGACCAAGTGATATTATATTTCATAAACCTATCTAGCTTATCTTTTATCAATTGCAGAACATTTTACTTAGAGACTGTTAATTCTTTAAACATGATAATTTCTGAGTATGGATTGTTATCATTCTTCCTTGTCCCACCACAAATCTTAGCAATATATGAACTCTTTCAAACAAAACTCCAGCACCAAAAAAAAATATATATCACAGACCAACTCACCTGTACCCTCTCTCTACCAGTAGCTAAACCTCTAACCCTACATCTAACCCTACAAAGATTTTAGTAAAAGCACTTGGTCTTATTATTCTTAGAGTAAAAAATTCCAAGTGTACTCTGCAGCATAGTTATAGATTTAAATACTTTTAAAGATTTTTAAACGCCACCAATTTGGAGTCTGCAAACTGAAAATTGTACAACTTTTTGTACAACCTTTTTTTTTTAAAGGTAGTCCCATATACATGTACCACTAGAAAAGAGTTTAAATGGCACAATTAGTTGACTTGTATTGTACAGTGGTAAGTCTAACACCATGGGCAGTTCAAGAGAAATAAGATAGGGGGCAGCACTGCAAGGGAAGTTTCCATTTTGCCCTTTTATGCTGCTTTAATATTTTGGAGCAGCCCAAGCCGGTTTGAGATCAAAATCAGTTTTAAAAGCCTTATTGTTGTTACTGCATCCATTGGCAAGGCTTTCACGAAATGTACATTGAAATTGAGGGAAATCCTAAGGAGGGATATGTATATATATATAATACCTGTTAATCACTATGGGCTATTCCATTCCAAAATATTTTAAGGGGTGAAGGAGAAAATTGTTACAACAAACTTCATAATTCAACCACTCCTATGTCTAGCAGGATTGTTTTGAAATTATATGTTTCCTCCATTTCGAAGAAATTTGTAAGTGCATTAGAAATGTGGGGTCGTGTGGCGTAGCGGTAGGGTATTCGACTCGGAACTAATATAAGAGATCCCGGGTTCGAATCCCACCTTGTCACCGATCTTGTGCCATTGGGAAAGGCACATAACACGACTTTCCTCACTTCACTCAGGTGAAAATGAGTATGCCAGAAGGATCATTATCATGATCGTGGGCATCAAAAAGAAAACCAAAACCAAAAAATTCCCAGTGTTTGAAATGGAATACCCCACAGATGTTTTCTGGTGGCACAGTGACATCTAGCAGGTTTCACAGGAACTGCAGGAAGACAGGCAGGCCGGTTGAGACTACAAGCTGGTTGTTTGTAATCTGTGGTTGACCAGTTGTAGTGTCAGCACCACTGCCAGTAGGCTGGCACTGGTGTAGAGGACTGTAGAACCTGACATACACTGTGTAGTGTCCTCCTGTAAGAAAGAGGGATAAGGAAAAAAGGGGTAAAACACTAGAAAGGTAACATTTGCAAAGCACATGAATGAATGAATTATTATAGATGAATGAATGAACGGATGAATGGCTTATCTAATAAAATACATCACAGCCAAGTATGGCTGAATTGCATATTTCACGAGTGCTTCAAACACAACCTCAGAGGTCTTCACACATTACTGTATTAAAACCTTTGACACTATAAAATCAACTTCATACATATATTAGTTGTCCTGTTACTATAGTAAGCTAAAGCTCTGGTTACATGACGTATATCATGACTGTCACAATAAGATGAGATAGACAATAGACGATATGCACACACATAATGTTTACCTTCACATGGTCTATCCTAAGAAACAACTGCTCTGTTTATTCTCACTTATCCTACATGATGTAAACCAGAAACAGTTACGGTCACTGTGGTGACAGTGGTAGGTAAACATAATGAGGCATTTAGGTGCAGAAAGTTGCACTACAACAACAGCTATAAGACCAGCACCATGGACTGGACACCAGGCTACAGTGAGTTGGACTTACCTGCTGATGCTGCTTGTGACACGACCTATTGGGTCGTCTCCTGAAGCGAGGCTGATAGGCACAGAGGTCAGGACCCACATGTGGGGAGGGGGGTCAAGGTCATAACCTTCAGAAGGTGAAACCATTTCAACAGGAAATCAAAGATCTCAAGCTACTTTCCAGGACAAAAATGCAGACACTCCTCTTAACAACTGGTTGAGAATAAAGAACTTTGCTATCATGAAGCTTCATCTTTGTTGGTAGCTACATGTTTAAAGTTAAAACTTAAGTGTAGTCTTAATAAATCTATTTCCTGAGAGGGGTATTTACATCAGGGCCCATCACCCTTTACTCAACTGTGACGGGGGCCGACATCGTCTACCAGATACCTTTGACCCAGTGTTGACGTCACACTTCAAAGAAGCCGCGTGACAAGCCTCACTGGGTCAGTCTACTGAGGAAGACCAGAGTGACTGGTCGAAAACTTCTTTATGTTGGATCAAAAGCTGTAACTATATTTGATGGTTAATGTTCAATTTGATGGTTAATGTTTGGTTTTCGCCTACATGTACATGTAGGTATTCAACTAAAATTTACACTGTCTATGAACACATCCACAATTCAAAAGTCCTTCGTTCAATAAGGTACATGTAAGACTACATGGTGAAAACAAGAACCAAACAAGACTGAAAAAAAGGATATCAAAGCTCTGGCTCTGAGCCAGTTTGGTGTTGTTGCACGTCCCACAGTTTTCGTCGGCAATCACAAACAACAGATTTGTGTTGGCAAGACGCGCGGCGGCAAACTCTCTGTGGAGGGAAAACAGAGACATGGAGTCAGAAGAGAACTCTGATTTATCTATTTATTTTTGTTTTATTTATACAGGGTAGAGACCTCAGTGCTATTTAAAAACAGTGCTTTTCAGGAATGCCCTGTACGTGACAACAAGTTATACAGTCACATGAAAACAATGAAACCAACACATTAAACAATAAATAAAGTTACAAAACAACCAAGCGTCAAAACAGAATCGTTAACTGTAAATCAGTGCCATTAAGCCAGGCCAAGGTCAGGCTGATGAGAATAATAAGAGAGGCCTTATTGTATCATGAACCCTGAGAGCAAAAGTTAAAATTCACAGAGTAATCTCAAATCTTACTGTATCAAAATACTACTGGTATTGCATCCAGAATTTTGTCTATCTACTAGTAGGTCTAGACGTGTTACAAATTGTTAGGATCAGGTACGGTTCTATATAGTCTTCAGGTATGCAAGAAAGTAGATTTGCTCTGATTCTGGATTCACATGAACTGTCACAATTACTGAAAACACACATACAATTCTTATGTCATAGAACATTCAAGCTGTGACAGAACCAAACAGTATCAAATATGGTACAGAATCATGTTATGTTACTTTGTTATAGCCTCCACCAGGGCTTTCTACAGGAATATACGGATCGTAGAATTCGACAAAAAAGAGAATCAAATGGGCCAAGGGAGTCCGGTCACGGGGAGGTAGTTTCGTTCCCTCCGATGCGCGGCCAGTCAAACCCCAAGGTGGTCAAACTCCCCTGGCAAATATTCTCCTATATATAACCAGCGTAGTTAGTCTGGTAGAGACTAACTTTGTTAAACACCACAGCAAATTATACAGGGTAAGGAATGAATACCTGGTACTTATTTTTAGGCATAATCAAATAGAAATGGTACCATGTAACTATAGTGTAAACCTAGTTTTACCGTGTGCAGTTACAGTTGGGGACGTCCCTCTTCACCCCCCGGTCTGACGCCCACGGCCTGAAGCCCTCGTTTGTAGCGAAGTCGCCGAAGAAGCGATACTGAGTCTGTTTCGCCACACAATGATGTCGCAATTCATCTGGGTCCTCTATGTAAATGGTGTCCGGTGTGGGAGTGGGGGGGTTCTGAGCTCCAACTGGAAGAGTGGAAGAAAAAGGATAAAAACAATAAACTCAGAGGACTGGCTGCACAAATTGAGTATAGGAACTGGAAGGTTCTAGACAATATCTTTTGACCAAAGAGGCTACCAAAGAACTAGTAGAAGATGTATTATTAAAAAAAAACAATTACTTTTTGATTGTATACAATTTACTACAAGTCTACCTGGATTTTCATGATGGATTGAAAATCTAATAGGACAAAACATGTTGGACAATATCTCAGAAATGCTAGTTATTATATATCAACACTAGCAAATCAACTTTAATGTTTGTAAGGTAGAATTGTTTGTCAAAAAGCAGTTACTCAAGCAACTGGATATGATTTTGAAAACGTCAGACTTTTTTCAGCTAGTATCCACTAGCTTTCGTCAGTGACTGAGAGACCAGAGGGGAAATGCAGGTTTATAAGCATAAACTATTGATTGATATGCAAATAAAGTGAAGACAAATTGTCGAAAAAGGAACAAAAGTCAGACAAGTCAAGACAAGATAATGGAAATTAGTCAGAAAGCTCCTGATATACAGAACAGGAGCTTAAGTGTTGTCTGTCCTCGGGGCTGGGAGTGCCAAATTCCAAGTGCCGGACAGATCCACCCAGTTGCTTGAGTAACTGCTTTTTGGCGTATCGTATTACCTGGATGTCTAACCTTCATCGACGTAGAATTGTGTGTCATTTGAAAATTGATACCAGCAAAAACTTACCAACACTAAACCAAGCTGACATCAGGGACCTACAGAAAACAGAGAAATGAAGAAAATGAGGAATTGTAAAAATAAAGGAAAATGTAATAGAGAAACACACATACGTCTTAGAATAAAGGTTTAGTAGTAGCATCTATTATGAAATGATCAACTTTTTGTGTAACACTATAATGCATGATGGAATTCTACTCACCCGTACACATAGTACCTCAAGTAAGCCCTGTGAAAATAAAATCTGTTAGATTTTCAGTAAGATAATTCTGTAAATCTTCAAATATTTGCACTGAAGCTAGGTGTTACTGCTAAATCATTTATAGAGGCTCTTATGCTTCAAACAACTTACCAGGCTACAGACGTGGTCCACCAGCCTAACCTTAGCAGCTCTGCGATTGGCTACAACAGATCATAGAAAGCATGTCAGGAAGTTAGGCCAAAGTCCGGGAAAAGATTATCTCCTTTCTTGCCTTCAATTTTCTGTCACATTGATGTCTGTTGGTCTTATGCAAGCCAGTGGCAAAATGCTTAAACAGAATCATTGGGAAATTGAATTCAATAATGAATAAAACAGCCAATTCACAAAAAATGTAACTACATGTAATTCACGAAGGTATTTAGGTGCTCAGATTAGGTACTTTATTTCCTCCATTAGCTTAAGCATGCAAGTACAAACAGACAAGTATGTAACTAGTCTTCCTGGAGCATGAAAGTTCATCTGAGTTGGTAAATTACATTATGAAAAACTTAAACTGTTCTCCAACTCAAAATTTGACTCACCAGGAAATTTTCGACTGAATCACTCAGTCTTCCTCAGCTATCTGACCCAAATGCTGTGGACACGTGGGTCAGAATCTTGGATACCGAACAGGATTACTTCAAGAGAGGCATAAAAGAGGCCACATACATCAGGGCACTTCAACCATCGCTCAACCGGGACGGGGGGCGATATCGACTTCAGACAACCTTTGACCCTTTGCTGACGTCACACGTGGGAAAAATCACGTGTCCACAGCATTTGGGTCAGATAGCTGAGGAAGACTGAGTGATTCAGTCGAAAATTTCCTGGTGAGTCAAATTTTGAGTTGGAGAACAGTTTAAGTTTTTCATAGTCTTCCTGCAGTTTGTCATACATTGACAGAAGATTGACAATTTTTTTTATTCATTTACTTTAATAGATAAAAATACTGACCACAAACATCCTTGGAGCTGCACTGTCCCCCTGGTTGAGTAGAGCACAGGCGGTGTCGTCTATGGGGTGGGCAAAGTCATACGACTCCACCCTAGCAAAATACAAACAAAAGGTTACATCGTAATACATGTATCAGTACAAGTCTACAGAACAACACCCTACAGGACACACTAGCCTGGTATCTCCGTTTGTTTTACATACTGGTATTACCATGCAGAAAATTGCTTTTAATTAAAGCCTGGATAGTACTAGTAATAGTACTAGTAGTAGTAGTTATTGTAGTAGTAGTAGAAGTAGTAGTAGCAGTAGCAGTAGTAGTAGTGGTAGTAAATTGTACTTATTCATTCTAACTAGTAGTTATGTAGTAGTAGTAGTAGAAGTAAGTAGTAGTAGTGATAGTAGTAGTAGTAGTAGCAGTAGTAGTAGCATACATTTCTTGTTGTGTGAGTTTAGTGAGAAATATATGACTGTACAACATTTGGGTCTGCTAGGGATTTGCACCAAGAATTTAATATACGTTGATGAAATGTTACCTTTAGCTGTTGCATATTTTACTTTGCTGTTTTGACATATAATATAATATATTAGACATATTTACCTTTCGTAGACCTCATGTTGTAGAAGTGACATCATCAGAGATCCGTCCATTTCTCCCAAGAATTTCCCTGTCTGTTGAAAAAGAAAAAAATCCTGAAGACATGGAATTTTTTCACACTAATCCTTAGAAAATACTTTTCAGCCTCCCATTTGGAAGAAGGTTTTGTAGAAAATGCTTCCAACTTACATGTATACAAGTGTGACACAAGAACTGGGAAGGGTAGCCTCTACCAGGCTTTAGTAGCTCTGAAGCCTGGTAGAGGCTACTCTGGTAGAGAGATGAAGGGGAGATCTTTGTAGCAGACTTTTCTAACAAGAGAATCCAAGTCTTCACCCTGCAGGGGACATTTGTCCGACAATTTCCAACAGTCATGTCAGGTGAACAGGAGATGAGGCCAACAGATGTTGCCGTAGACGGGGAAGGGAACATGTGGATGGTGGGGTGGACAGACTTGGTGTATTCTGTATCGCCCAAGGTACCGACTGTGGGTCGGATCGCCCCAAGGACGAAGGCCGGAGGGAGATGCGATCCGCGGGAGGGCTGGGACCGAGGGTGATACAGAATACACTGTGTTGTATTTTATTTACATTATGTATGTCATACCCACACGAGAAAACAGACACAAACTTTGATGAATCCAAACAAAAAGTGTAACGGCAGCATCAGTCCCAACATCCGAATTCGGAGTTCAAAGTTTTGAAAGTGGCGCACTCAGTGCGTGCAAAAAGTGTTCGAATTATTCTATGGAACATTTGGAAGCCCGGGCCGTACGCGTTAAGAACCCCCGGGCCGTACTGCTAGTTATCACACAGGCCAGAACACCCATATGGAACGTAATCGTGGCCCATGTGTGACATAAAGCACAGTACGTTTATGAACCACTAATGAGACAACAGTTGTAGTGTACAGACATACCGAATCCTGGCTGTCGTCTCTGGTGGTGGCCACAATAAAACCTCCGTCGTCCAACAAGAAGCACTGTGCATCCTGTAAACAGTGGGAAAACATCTTCAAACACCTGAACTGGACAGGTATACATACAACTTACCTCACACACTTTGTTGTAGTGTTGCACATTCTAAGTGATCTTGATGTACAGTGCCAACGTGAAATCATGCTACTGCAAATACAGGTTTCCATTGTATGACTACCGTATTATAGACTTATTTTAGCTGTGAACTTGAAACACTTGAAAAACCTCCCTTCCCCTCCTACTACAAAATTAACTCATTGCAAAATTGAGTTCAGTAACATGAACAAAGTCCTAGTCGGCAGACAGACCTTCATAAGTATAACACAACAGTCTTTGTTAGCTTATAGGTATTCATTTGGCTGCAATGTTATTCTAGTTTATTTATGAAATCAATCTACAGAACCAAAAACACTTACCGAATCCACACAGGTCATACAGGAGGTGGGGGTGGGCACTCGGCACCCCCTCTGCAAGTTAACAAGAAAGACCAAACAACCTGTTACCCCATTCAATTCTAGTTATGGTATCCACATTGTTCTATGATAATGGCCTACTGCAAATGTGACTAAGCTGTAAGGCACCAGATGCTCATATTCAGCATTCTTGTATGATTTTCTGGGGACAAGACACTGGCAACAAAAGTTGAGGTGCAAGAGCAAAGATATAAAGACAAAGAGAAGTCGTGGTATATAGAGCATATATAGAGTATATGGAGTAGTGGTATATAGAGTAGAATACGTACAGAGCGAGAATTGCTTCTATCACCACACCCACACTGGAAAAATATACATTGAAGGAACTGTTACTCGATCTGAAAAAAATCTTGTTGTTCCTGAAAACTACATGTTTTGCATCTTCTACAATTACATTGCAATACCCACACTGAAAGAAACTTGTTGTCCATGAAAACCAACCATGATGTTTTGCATTTCTAATTACATTACAATACCCAGTTAACAGAAAGTTCAACCTTTCCCCTATAGCACGGTAATAAAGGATATTATGTCATGAAAATTGAAATTTACAAGAAAAGACGAATTTACTAACATTTTCTGTGATATCCCTCATCTTGTCAAAGAGTTTGTCAGCATCAATGTTCACTCCTGCAACTGTAGAGAATGAAATAGAATATTAGACATGAGATGTAAAACTACAAAGTGTATTTTTATTTTAAATATGTCATTGTTGTAAAACACACAATTCAGCCTGTGGCTGCCATGTGTTTTTGACGAATAAACCTTTCATTCATTCCTATTATAAAAATTACCTGCAGGCAGAACATCCTGTCCTTGTATAGGCACTTTGACGGCTTTAGCTCCAACAACATTTATAGTATCAGGTGGGGACTTGTCTGCATTATCTGCAAAAACAGGAATAATGTTAGGAACAAACAACCTAAAACTATCAAACAGAGCATTTTTCAAATCTATGTTATGTAATTTTATCAAGTGAAAACATTTTTTTGTCTTTTCCATCTAACTTAGAATGTAATGCTTTAGATAAGGCATACTACAATGCTTTTTCGACAGCTTATAAATGCAATGTGACTTTGCAAAGGCACTATGACTTTGTTTTCATAGTCAAGCATAACTGGTCACCCAAATTCTTCTTGATAAGTGTGTTGGGTTCTTCAGACTAATCCCTAAAAAGCCTACATACAAACTTACACAGGGCTGCCGTCTTCATGTCATCCATCTTCCAAAACTACTATTATTTTGCCTTTACACCAAGCTTGAAGTGGGGATCAAACCCCTAACCCTAGAACCCATAAATACATAAATACTTAATGCACATAATAATGTTTTGAGAAGAAACTGACCGTCATCTCGTGGTGTGTGGAACATGTAAACGTCTTTGTTGCCGAGGGAACGGGTGAAGTACGTGGCAGAGAAGCTGTCATCATGGTGGAAGGGGGTCGCACTAGAAGAGAAGACAACAATCATTGCGGAGCATAGGGGTGGTGCCAATCTCCATTTCGGTAGCCCTTGAGCCACACAGTTGTGAAAGCACTACAGCAGGGGGCTAGCATGCTGGTAGTGTTGTGTGTTAGCAGCTACCATATATACAGACTATGTAAGACGGATGATAAAAAATATCAATAATATACAGTAGCAATGAAATATACAAAATAAGACAGCACTGTAATTCACAGAATTTAGTTGTCACTGAAGAAACTGAGTCTATAGCTATATTACGTTGTCCATAAAATGAAAATATCCTTACCCATCAGGAAACACCCTGGTCAGGCCGGACGCACCACTGATGAACATGGAGTTGATGCCTTGGCTGTACAGAAAAAAAAAAGGCTGATCATTCACGAGAACTTAATATCATATATATAACTGCAATGATTATTGTACATAACAGAAAAGAAAGAAACAGAGAAAGACTAGCCTGGCTACATCATGTGGCGCAGCCCTTCCACTGATCAGGCCCCTACAAGCTTGATGGCCAACAAGATTATGTAACATACATGTAGGTTAGGAGGCCCCAGGCACTGACAGTGAGAGGCTGTGTAACACAGGATACGTTTCAGGCCATGTTAGAGGTGTATGGCCATAAACTCTCAGGAAAGAGGCCCAATCAGCCTCAGACAGTGAGAGATTTTTTATTTATTTTTTATTTACTTCAGAATTCACCTCAAAACAAGGCTTGTGAGAGCCACTTAGTTACATGTTTTGGGTTACAGTGATGACTGCGTGGTCAGATATTTGCGTGGTCAGATAATTAGCGGTGAAGACTGTGAAATACTAGCCTCCGTAGCAGGCTTATAGAACTGGGGATTTGGTGGTCTTTGGCTGTTTTCTGATTAGCCCAGTTAAAAAAAAGGGGGTAATTCAATCAGGCCGTTTATGTTGTCTATATGCAATCAGAAAATAGCACATAAAAGCTCCCAAAGACCCTGAAGACCCCCAAAACCCCGTTTTTGGCATGCTATGGAGGCTAGTGAAATACACTGTACAGAAAGACTGACCTGCGAAACTGTGAAGTGAGGCTCTGCCAGTGGTTAGTCACATGGCTGCGGGTGACGACAGCGTCCAGCATCACATGCTGAATCATCTTCTCATCACCTGCACACAGCAACACAAGAGTCAGAAATATATGCTATAAAATGGTTGGGACCGAGGGTGATGCGGAATACACCGTGTTGTATTTTATTCATGTCATACCCACCCAAGAAAGCACCTTTCAATGAGAAATGAGCGAAAACTTTGGTGTCCCTAAACCAAAAAATGCAACAACAGCAATTCCAACGTCAGAATCCTGTACTCGAAATTTTGAAAGCGGTGCACGAGGTTAGGACAAAACGTGTTTGAATTATTCTATGGAAGACATGGAAGCACAGGGAGTACTGTAAAGTATGGCCTGGTTTGTAACACCGTTATCGAACGTTATCGAGGCCCGGGTACATGTATGATGTAAAGGTGAATAAACTCACAGTGTTCAGGTGCGTTCTGCTGCAGGTGATGGGCCTCTGCTATCTTCTCCCTGACCTTACAGTGCAGGTTATCCTGGCACTTGTGGGGGCTGGACGAGTAGTTGGCACAGTATAGTCTAGGACATAATGAAGACATTACTTAGAGATTAGTACACACACACATATACCCTCCATTGTTTAGAGTGCTATTTCCTGAAAAGTTCAAAAGGCTTTACCAAGGAAGTTAGGATGTTTCTTTCCGATAGCTAGAATTTACTGACAGTCACTGGTATATGACTTTATAAGACAACAAGGGTTGTTTAGTAATACAGATTTTGTTGCACTTTTGCTGCCTGCTCATTTTTTGGTCAAAAGTGAACACACACACAAAAATGTACAACAACTCGCAATGCAGAATGATCATCTTTATCAATTAAGCTCCAACTTACAGTGGTGTCAAAACCAGTTTCCCTGCAGCGTTAGTGTCAAAGGCGTTGAATCCTGAAAAACAGTTAGATGTAATTAACTGCAAATTCATAACATCACATTGGCTTACATGTACATTAATATTTAGTCTTCTATCATATTAGACTGGTTATGGGATTTTACAAGCCTTGGGGAACCTTTCTGTTTTTCATAAAAAAATTATACATGTATTTTAAGTCAGTCTGAATAAACTTGCACTAAGACCATTTCCCCTTCAAGTTTCTAGTGGCATTCAAAGTTGCCAAAACTCCAGTGTGATACCCCTGAGCTGAAGAACACCATGATGAGACCAACCTTCCTGGTATGAGACCCTCGACACGTCCAGTGACCCTGGGTGGTAGTGAGGAATACCCAGGCCTATGCTGGAAATAGAAAAAAAAAATATTTCAAAAAATTAAAAACATTAAATAAATGTATTATTTTTCTGTGACGGTACTGGTTATGCTGAATGATAAGGAGTGTCCTAACTAATGTGTGATTATTGAAATTCTAGGACATTGTATTTCATCTTTTTTTAACACTACAAGAGCTATTGACGCACAATAATTGAAAAACAATTGAAAAATCTTAACAGCTGCAAAAGACAGACCAAAAAGACCAAAGTTTGATAATTTCTCTATCAAATTGACAAGTTTTCTTACGATTTGCTAACTTTAAAAATTTTGGAAGTCAAGGGACAGTCTCCATATTGGTATTACTACAGGAAACACAGTTTTTATATGATTTGTAAACTTTAATCAGACATACCTGAAACCTGTGCCTGTGACTGGACCATAGTGGTACGTCATCTGCACTTCATCAATGTAGTGCTGGAAAATTTACCAAAATATCCAACTTTAGGAAAGAAATATGCATCAACAATCTCAGAACTGTTGGTGAGACTATTTGTAAACTCTTTCCAGATTGGTTCTAACAGCATGGTGCTTTATAATCTGTTCTGTGATTGCCAAAAAACAGTTACTGAAGCAACTGGATATGATTTTGGAAATGGTCAGACATTTCATGTAGCATCCACTACCTTTTGTCAGTGACACTGAAGAGTTGTCAGAAAAGCTGGTTTATAAGTAGCAACTGTCATGTAATTGGTTTTATAATCATGGCACTATGATGGTAAAACAGCTCTCTGATTGGTTCTATAATCATGACACGATGGTAACACAGCTCTGTGATTGGTTCTCACATGATCATGTGTCTTGGTGAGGGTGTTGATGACATCACTGCCAGTTTCGAGTTTCACCATCCTGTTCCTCATCGCCTCCTTGTCCGGGTTCGTGAACTCTATGTCCAGAAGGTCAAGGGTCGGCGGCTTGGAATAGAAGGCATCCTAGAGGGAAAAAAATTAATTAGCAAATATTAGTAATTATACCAGAGAACTTTTTAGCAAATAGACACTTAGATAACATGCAAGGGGACTTAGCCTGTCAAAGGAATACGGTCTGCAGTGACTGTTTGTTTCAATGAATATTAGCCTAATGGCACAATCTGTAGTCTGTTTGAAAGTTTGCTTAATGGATATGGATTATGTAATGTGACTAGTTAGACTAGAGAACAAGTTGATAATCAGCATAGCAGAATAACAGTTAGCATTACAGTTGCTTCTTTCATTCTCTATGGGAGACTACAATTATATCAATATCCATGCTTGGTTAGGGTGATGAGGCATTGATCAGAATTAGTCTCAGTCTGTGTTTCCAAGGACATATTTAGGGTGGGACACATTAAAGGACAGACGCACAGCAAGTAGACTCACATTACTTCAGAAAGCAAGACACTCAAAAACAGCCCTTCCGGTCAAAACCTTGTTGACGCCTATCCTGCGCCAATCGCGACACTTCAACTCCAACTCATACAAACCTCTAACGTTTCACAAAGACTGCTACAAATATTCATATTTTCCACAAACTGTCAGAGATTGGAACATTTTGCCCCAAGAGATAACTGATACTGCGGAACCCAGGAAGTTCAACGCTGCAGTACTTCAACACCTAAAGAAGCAGCAATAGCGCATCGCACAGCTCCCCTGCACGCTTTACCCCAATCTAGGGGTGTTGTGCAGAACCCGTACAAGACAAGACAAGACAAGACATAGATTTGCCCCAGGCACGGTTCTGCACGGTTCTGCACAGGCTATACAGAACCGTGTCTGTGTATGGTTCTGGATATCAAAGCATTCAATTTGTTACTGTTCTGGATACAACTGGATCCTGTAGATGTAAAGTAATGACAGAACTGATACACAATGTATCTGAAGCTCACCTCAGGTGTCAGGTGTGGATGGAAGACGATGAAGCCGTTGTTGTTGATGATGAAGGCGTAACCTCCGTGGCCAAGCTGGAAATCAGAAAGGTCAATCATCTTCATTAATTTCTATTTTTTATGATAATAACATATGTTATCATTTATTAACAGAAGCGGCATAGTTCCTGATGATAATATATAATTATAATAGTAATTGTAATGCCCTCGATTAAGAATTGTAGCATTTAGTAAATGTATTTATTATCTGCTCTGTGTATTTACACGTATTATTTTTTTAACGCTGAAGCCATTCATGTTTAAATTTTAATGAATGTCAATGCCCATATCAATAAAGCTGAATCTAAATTTAAATCTAAATTATTTGCAAATGCAATATATATCATCAGGGTCTAAGGGTACATATTGTGCTTCTGGGGGTATGTACATGTAGGGAGGGCCACTGGAAAGTACAGAGGGGTCCTTTAACAGTGCACTAAGGACTGTACTTGTGACCACAAAATACAGTAGGGAAGTACATGTTATGCACCAAGTGCTCGTGGAGTCATGTGAATCAGGAGGTGCTACAAAATAATACTGTAAAATCATGAAACTTTTGCAGTGGTTTTCTTTCAATTTGCAGTTTTTGGAGATTTACATTTTGTAGATCTCCACTTCAAATTGATAAAAATGTAAAAAAAATCCTTGTATGACTGCAGAGTTGTTTTGAACAACTTTCAAAACACCCCTTCCTCTTGTTGCAAAATATATAGAACGCAAAACGTTTCATAATGTACAGTAGTCTGATATGTCATGAAATGAAAAGAAGTGGACAGGTAAGAGTGCAAGGAAAGTAGTATGTGACGTGCCTGTAGAAAAATATTTGATGGAGGTGCAACAGGATAGTCAGGCATAGAGTGCAGACAGACACAGGACAGGTGCAGAGGAAGAAAGAGAAAAAGAAATAAAAGAAAGCAGTGTTCATATTTACCCGCTGCTTGCCATGTTGTGTTAAGAAGAAGAGTGTAGAGTGAGCAAGAGAGCGAGAGAAAGAGAGAGAGAGTAAGGAGAGGAATCAAGCTTCAGCACTAAGTTTGAAGCATTCATTTATTTCATACTATACCATGGGTAGTAATGGTAACAGTTGTATTATTTTGATTGCTTTACATACAACAGCATTACTTTGTGTGTGCCTAGCCCACTCTAGTTTACACTAACATATTTCATGTTTTAATGATGTATAGTTACTAAAAAATGTTGAAGGCTTTTACACTGCTAAGTTTAGGGAATAGCAACACTTCAGTTAACTGATGATAATCACCATCAATGTTCAATAAGAGAATATCATGATTATTTAATGCATGTATCACCTCTCTTAAAGGAAGTGAAGTCCTCATTTCCTTCACCGGCCATGGCACAGACACAACTCCTAGCACCGCCTGGTTCTGGGAGTAAAACAGATTCAACAGTCAGAATGAAAAATCAGTATGAAAGTTAATCTGTGTTGGTACAAATCATTATGAAATAAAGACTAAGCTTTAACTTCCAACACTTAGATACAGAATTGGGACTTACCCCAAATTTTCGGTTGACTCCATCAACCTTGTTCACGGAATGGACCCTTGTTGAATGTTAAAGCTTAGTCTTTATTTCATAATGAAAAATCAGTATTTTTGATGTTCTATCACCATGGTAACACCAAGCCTCACCCACACATGTTCCATCACCATGGTAACACAAGGCCCCACCCACACATGTTCCATCACCATGGTAACACCAGGCCCCACCCACACGTTCTATCACCATGGTAACACCAGGCCTGCCCATGTTCCATCACCATGGTAACACCAGGCCCGCCCATGTTCCATCACCATGGTAACACCAGGCCCCACCCTTACACCGGTACTTACTTCTGCACAAGTGCCTTCATCGTTCTTACTACATGTACCGTCCTTTGACATATAGCGCGGATTGTCCTAAGGAAAAATAAATTCAAAGATAGAATTTTTCTCTTTGGGACTACAATTTCACTAAAACTAATGTAAAAGCTTTGGTAAGGGACATTCTATTTCCTTAAATGTAAGATAAGTACAAGTCATGTAGTCCATACCATGGTTGTGTTGATGACTGGGTAGCTGACGTACACCTCAAAGTCATCACCCTAGTAATGGGGTAAACAAAGATGAGGTTACATATGGGGGCATATGTACAAAATCAAAAATTATGTGTGAAAGATAACAGATACTCATTGACAAGCAGATAGATTTTGAAAACTGTCAGATGTTTCAAGTAGCATCCACACAGAATTCTTCAGTGACAAGAAGTGGATGCTACTTGAAACGTCTGACCATTTCTAAATCTATCCATGCAGTTACTTTTAGTGTTTTTCATTACCTGGATGTGTAACCTCAAGCTCATTATTGTCAAGTCATTATCACTGGAATAAGTTCTAAGATGCACTAAGGCCACACCAATTTAATTTCTTGGTTAACAGATTTTTCTAAAAAAAATAATTGAGCGGGCGGGCGAAAAAAAAAAAAACAGGCCTAGGCATCCTATTATGGCCCAAAATGGTACGATAGGAGCCATAAAGTCAACACATCAGGCTGGTTCAAAATTTAAACAATGAATTTTGAACTTTTAATGATACCATTGCATTGAAAGATGGAATAACTGTAACAACTATGATGAAAAGGTCTGTTTTCAACTGTTCAGGGCAAAATATGTGCATTTTGCAGTTGATTCTGGATTTTTATCAGAGATAATGCCCTAAAAAGAGTAGTAGAATCTTCTTCAGCACCAAGGACAGGGATAGCATTTTTGTATGATAAGCATTTTCTTGTTGTTGGATTCTTGACAAGGCAATGACAAACACTCACTTTTTCACTCATAAAGATCTTGGAGAAGGTGACTTCCTTGGAATTCTCTAGGGCGACCGGCCGGCTTAGGACCTGGCCAAAATCCTGGAAAGAAATGGATAGAAACAGTAAGTTGTATCCTGTCATAGCTAAGCTATGCATGCAACAAATTATGCAATAAAGCTGAACCTGAATTGTACAACAAATGTGATTACAGGCCCTCAGTAACAGCCAATTAGTATGTCAACAGTACATAGTTAGTACAAAGCTGTTAGATTGCAGGAAATATCTGAAGATGAGGAGAACCGAAGTGTTTAGCAGCAGGATAGACTGAGAATAATAAGCTGGTTCACAGTTTCAACTGCATATTTGCAAGGTCAAAGGTAAAGCTTGATAACTTGTGAACACTTCTTGTCTAGACCATGCTTGATACATGACCAGACATATTTGGATTGTATTTTAGGGTCTTTACCTTTGACATATGACCCACACCACACATGCACAGTTCAAACCATGAATCAGCTTATAGGCCATTGCCACAGAGACAGAGAAGACACCTGTTAGTACAGCTGAGATTGGTTACACCTGTACATGTAAGGACAGGTGTTGAAGTGGACAGGTTAGCACACAGGTTAGCACGCATTACAAACCACCACCACACCTGCATGTCCTTCAGTCATGTGTCCCCACCACCTGTGATTAAAAGCGTAATAAAAAGAAGACAGTCTGATCTAACAATTGTTGCTGTGAATGAATTTACTGAGTGTGTGTTTCATTCCTATGAGACTTATGTATTCTAAGGGATTGATGTTGCTTTTATCTACGAGTGCTCAGTCTACATAGAATTTTACCATGGTCAATATTGACTGAAGGAGAACATAATTATATAGTCTATACATAATAATCAATTATAATAATGCAAATATTCCTACCCCTGAGGCTTCCCTGGCTGCACCGTCACTCCTGACAGTTGAGAAGTACCCTGGCAACAACAAAAACAACATCATTAGCTTGAAAGAATTACACATCATTGTTACTCATTACAGTAACAAAAAAAAAACAAAAAAAAAACACTAAGATATACAAAGAACATTATGGTAATGTTGCAGCTGTAATTGTTGCTTTTCAATAGAATTGTTACTTTTTATTAGAACAGTATTTTGTTACTTTCCTTGAAGTTCCTTTATCTAAACAACATTTTTAATTTGCAAGAAACAAAAATGTGTGAAGCGAAACGGTACCTCTTGCTATAATTTAAAAGGTTACCGTACTGTTGCTATAATTGTTTCCTACAGGTCTGTGATATTGTAATTGTGAAACTGACCTCTGTTGTCACAGGCCATTTTCTGCAGCACGCTCCAGTCGTGGATCGGCTCCCCCACAACAATCACAAACACACGGATCTACAGAACAAACAAACATTCAACAGACATTGTCATCCCATCTATTCCATAGTGTAATTAGAAAAGTTAAGGTAACATGTGCACAAAGCAAATACATAATGTTTACCTTCACATGGTCTAGCCTAACAAACTACTCCTCTGTTGATTCCTACTCAAGCACTTTGAATTCATAAATTATTATACATTGTGACCAGTCCCTCAGAATGTGTCCTGCCACTTTGTTTCATAATGTATTCCAACACCCCACAAGGTCTGCTATAGACTCCAATAGTATATAGTTTACAGAATACAATTGGAATTGACAGTTCTACCAGATTGGAGTCCCTAGCCTGACATACGTTGAAAAAAAGTTCAGCTATCTACATGTACCTTACTGATGACAAGATACAATTCTATTTCAATGGAAACTTATCAAAAACGTGTGTTGCTGCTTACACTTCTGTCAGAGTTGTACTTCTGGAAGACTGCCTCGGGGTAGAGCTCAGCGTTCTCGGTTACCAAGACGATGATCCGGTTACACTCCGCGCCCTGGTTCTCATTACGATCCTCCATCTGGAACTGTAAGTCATGGGAAATTTGACTCAGATTTAACTCAAATTTGATATGATCCAGTTACACTCCGCTCCCTGGTTCTCGTTTTGCTCTTCCATCTGGAATTGTACAGCACGAAGTCATGATTAGATGGTGGGAAGGAACCCAGGCTTTTAGCTAGTCCATGGTATCTTTTGGAAGTCCTGTACTGAAAATAATAAGAAATTGGATGCCTATATACCTTTTGGTAGGACACCCAAAAGATGTTCTGATACTGTGAATCATGGTTTTATTTTCACAGTACTCATGTTGATTTTTCAACTGTGGATTTATGACACTACAAAATTCCATAGTATTATGTTGTCCTTATGCGATTATTGTACTACACAGAGGATCTAAAAAACAGTGAAAATTTCCATCGACCCTTACATTGTTGAAGATCTTGAAGGCATACTCCAGGCCTGCGTAGTAGTTTGCCTGGTTAGCTGCCTCCAGGTTGTCCAGGGACTTGTGGATCACCTGAGGGGTTGACAGCAAACATGTTTTCTCAAGGTAAACAACTCTGCTTTCTTTATTGTTTATCTGCACATAAAAACAAATCATTTGTTGAAAATGGTGAACCAAATGTGCAGGATGATGGAGATCTTACCTCCTTGTTGTGAGTGGTTGCTTGGACAAAACTGCTGAGACAGCTGACAGCCTGGGCATAGGCATTAAACTGCAAAATATAATGTACATGTTACTGTCCCAGTAATTGTTCCAGTAGGGTTTAACTGTGAGGCAAGTATACACTAGTCAGGAAAACTAATAACAGCCATCTCAGGGCCATCTCTCTGTTGGAAAGCGTTGCTTAGTGGTGCCCCCTAGTGGTTCCTACACAAACTGCACTGACAATGACTGACACTACATGTACATTGTACATCTACAGGCAGGTGTCATGTTACCAAAATTAAATGCAACACATGACACATACTCTGATGTGAGGAAATGCATTAATCATGAATTGAATGTAATGGGCTTACAGAATAAATACTGGCATCTCTCCTTGGCGCTGAAAATATTGTTACTGCCTTTCCACTGTTCAAGTTGAGAAATATTATCAACTCACGTATCCGGTGGCAACGTAATCGTCTTCTGTCAGCCTGTCCAGAAGGAACCATGTGGTATGCTTCATCAGGCTCAGGGAGCGGCCTTCTACACTTCCACTCCTAACATGGGAGACAAAGGTCAAGGTGGATATTAGGATGTTCTTATAAGTTATACACAACCAGGTATTCTTCCTACCTTGCTTATGTTTTGGTGTCTATCGGACACCTTCCTTAGAGCTTCTGACTGGAGCACTGCTTCTTGCTGCTAGCAAGCAAGGTAGGAAGAACACCTGGTTATGTATAATGAAATCCCAATATCCTATGTTCTACCAACCTGATAAAATTATGTTTGAAAGGTCAAGGTGGTTTTGTTGACTTCAGGGAGTGTGTTTGAATCCCTGCCAGGCACAGATGTTGTGTCCTCGCTCAACTTGGTGCAGGTTAAATGTGTTACATCCAAGCAAAATGCGAATAATGGACCTACAGAATAAATACTGGTGTCTCTCCTTGGTGCTGAAAAAACTATTGTTGCCTTTCCATCGTTCAAGATGGGAAATATTAACTATTGTATGTAGGAGGTATTTGAAGCCTTGCTGGGTCATATTTTGTATTTTGATTTGAAATACAAGCCTCAGATTTTCAACTTAAAAGGTTAGTATGTGTTTTTCCACTTCATGCTACCTCAGTACTGCATGCTACATTACACTAATCTGCAGACACATTCCAACAGTTGATACATGGATGGCAGCAGTTCAGACAAATGAGCATTCCAGTCTCAGAAAATTATGATGCTGCCTTTCCATTGTTCAACTTGGGAAATACCATTAACTACTACATGTAAGAGGTATTTCAAGCATTGCTAGGTCATACTTTGGTTTCAAATACAGATTCAACAAAAAGTACAGGGACTTTTGTATGGTCTTCTACAACTTAAGATCTAACAAAGCTAAATACATGTATGAATAATGCTACATCCTACATTGACGGAAGACAAGCCTCAGATTTTCAACTTAAAAAAGGTTCCGTATTATTTGACTCTACCTCAGTACTGTATGCCACATTACACTAATCCAACAGTTGATACATGGATGGCAGCAGTTCAGACAAATGAGCATTCCAGTCTCAGACATCAGACTTAATGGCAGTGGCAGAGCTGGGGGATTTAAGTCTGAATCTCTAGTCCACTTACGCTTGACTACGGCTCTAACTCTCAAATCCCCTTACACAGAAAAACATTTCTTTCCAAGCCTCTTAGAGACCGGGGATTTGTTTAATGTCCCTGTGAATGATGTGTTTTTCTAAGAAAATTTCAAAAATTCCAGTAAGGAGAAGAGAGTCACATCTATTGTGTATTGGGGTGAAACTTACATGGGATGAACAGTTTGAAAAAGCCCATCTGCCAAAATCATCTTAGAGACCAGGGATTTCTGTAATGTCATTGTAAATGATGTGTTTTTCTAAGAAAAGTAGAAGAAATTCCAGGAAGTAGAAGAAAAAGTGCAGAGAGTCACATCTATTGTGTATTGGGGTGAAACGTACATGGGATGAACATTTATAAAAAGCCCATCTGCCAAAAGCATCTTAGAGACCAGGGATTACTTTAATGTCCCTGTGAATGATGTGTCTTTCTGAGAAAAGTTTGCAAATTCCAGGAAATAGAAGAAAAAGTGCAGAGAGTCACATCTGTTGTGTATTGGGGTGAAACGTACGTAGGATGAACAGTTAGAAAAAGCTCATCAGCCAAAAGCTTCTTAGATACCAGGGATTACTTTAATGTCCCTGTGAATGATGTGTCTTTCTAGGAAAAGTTTTCAAATTCCAGGAAATAGAAGAAAAAGTGCAGAGAGTCACATCTGTTGTGTATTGGGGTGAAACGTACGTAGGATAAACAGTTAGAAAAAGCTCATCAGCCAAAAGCTTCTTAGATACCAGGGATTACTTTAATGTCCCTGTGAATGATGTGTCTTTCTAAGAAAAGTTTACAAATTCCAGTAAGGAGAAGAGAGTCACATCTATTGTGTATTGGGGTGAAACGTACATGGGATGAACATTTAGAAAAAAGCTTTTTAGAGACCAGGGATTTCTTTAATGTCCCTGTGAATGAAGTGTTTTTCAAAGAAAAGTTTGCAAATTCCAAGAAGTAGAAGAAAAAGTGCAGAGAGTCACATCTATTGTGTATTGGGGTGAAACGTACATGGGATGAAGAGTTAGAAAAAAGCCCATCTGCCAAAAGCATCTTAGAGATCGGGGATTTCTCTAATGTCGTTGTAAATGATGTGTTTTTTTAAAGAAAAGTTTGCAGATTGCAAGAAGTAGAAGAAAAAGTGCAGAGAGTCACATCTATAATTGTGTATTGGGGTGAAACGTACAATTTGAAAAAGCCCATCAGCCCAAGCCTCTGATTTCCCAGAGTGCATCATTATGGCTGTGAGGAGGAAGTCATGATGATTGGTTGTGAGTCCGAATATTGCAAGGGTCTGGAGCGGCTGCCATTCGGCGCTAACACAGCTGACCTGAACATAACCCCAGTTGCTACTGTCCCTCATTTATGGCAATCACTCGAGATCTTTATTTGCAGATTCATATACAAATTCATGTACAGATACAGATTCATGTAAAGATATATATTCATGCACAGATACAGATTCATGTACAGATATAATACAGATACAGATTTTCTGAGTAGGATGACTGTGCTACTGTAGGACTGTAAGATTTGAACCACTCACACCAGGATGTTCCCCAACTCTTTTCAAAAAGTTTGGTCAGTTTTTCAACATGATTGAGGTGTGTCTTTTCTCAACATGGGGCCTCCATTTTTTCTATGTTATGGCCAAGACCTCAGCATAGCAGCAATACATAGTCATTACGTTTTGCTATACGGTATTTTGACAAGTAGCACTGAGATGGGCATTGACTTTATGTTTGAATGTCCTATCCGAGGGAGGTCCCTAACCAAAGCTAGGTACTCATTTCCACCTGAGTGAAGTGAGGAAAGTTGTGTGTACAGTGCCTTTCCCAAGGGCCAGTAGTAGCCAGAAAAAAATGTCAAGAGACAGGCTTACTGGAAAATGAATCAACCAGAATTCCCTTGAAGTTCATTGCCATTCTGGGTCAGGTTATTCCATCAGCGTAATGACCAAGAAAACGTACAATTCTCTGATTGCCTTCTAAAGCAGAAATCCCATATTGTCTACATTATGCCTTAGACATTGGCTACGGGAGTCTCTGAGGGTTTTTCAAGGACAGAAAGCAGGCACGGAAGTGTCTGGGATTTCCTGTCTCAAAGGGTTCACTGCAGACACAATTAATCAACAGAATGTCTTTACGAGCACTGAAAACATTGCCCAGATACATTTGTATTCTTACACACAGTGCATGTAGTTTTGAGCATTAGCATTCAACAAGTATCTAGTACTGTGCTCATCTAGTTCTAATCATGAATAGGTTAGGGTCGGGATTAGACACTGTTCTGGATAGTGTATAGCAAGGTCATATCCAGAACCATTTCTATCTAGTTCTATACGCCTGCGTGGGTCAGGCAAAGTTCTGGATAGTCTTTGCATATCCTAGACATGGTTCTGGATGCATGGGGACTATCCATAACCTTGTATGAGCATAGTTCTGGATAAAAGACAGTTCTGGATACAACATGTGTCTTCCTGTACCAGATGATCCTATATTGTATAAGACTGCTGAAGGCTCTAACATCTGCCAAACCATGTCAGGATTTTCCTACTTACGTGTCCAGGAGGATGAGCATGTCCTTCGGGGAACTGATGGTCTGTTGGTACCTGGAAAATCAATCAAACAATTAGTCAATCAATCGATCAATCAATCAATCAATCAATCAATCAGTCAGTCAGTCAGTCAGTCAGTCAGTCAGTCAGTCAGTCAGTCAGTCAGTCAGTCAGTCAGTCAGTCAGTCAATCAATCAATCAATCAATCAATCAATCAATCAATCAGTTTTTTTCATTAATGATCATTAAAAATAAGAAAATGAAACAAGAAAATTCAAATATCCTAAATAATGGGACAAGGAAGTGACAATATTGCAAATTAGAGAATAAAAAGTGCTGCTGCCACCACCTTGCCATCACCATGTAAGGAAAGTGAATAGATGAGTTATTTTCAGAGCAAACTCTTTGAGACATCAACAAATGATTGTCAAGTCTGTAGGGTAAAGCAGGATCTAAGCAAACACAATGCTTTACCCTACTTAGGGTCCTTTCCTTTTGACCTTGTAAATGTGAGGATAAGACTGTGAACTGGCTTAAATTCTTCCTAAAAAGTGACACTTGGTTTAGAGTGCACCTCAAAGTATTATCCTTTCCTACACCAATCAGTGATCTCTTTCAGCTCCTCCTCTTGTTAGTAACTCACAAGAGGAAATGTGTTCTCTGATTGTCTTACCAAGTGGAGATTCGTGGATCATAGCTGCCAAATTGTCTGTCATCAGCAGTGAATGACACTACAGACAAGCAAAAACACACAGAAAGAAGCCAGAGTGATTTAACGTGCAATGCAACTATGCTGGTGCTTTGGTTGTTGTTTAGAGCAGAAGAAATTGTACAGCTGCAGTCTTGTGCTATTTGGACACCTGTTGGGAATGGAATGCGGTGCAGTAGTGCAGTGAGTTTGCAAAGGGAAAAAATACAGGGAAGGACTGTGATGCATTTGTCAATGTAAGTCCATTTTTGGGAAGGTTGGGTATCTTGGAACACCCCTCTTGTACCCATTGGGGTTTACATGGATAAATGCATAGCGATGATGCAAGCTGCTGCCAATAGATGGCTGAAATGGAAATGGTGCTTTTTGAAATCATTTACTAGGATTATATAGGGGACAGTTCATTATTGTTCAGAGAAAGAGGAGGCTGGCAGCATGCTGCTTTACAATCCTCAATCCAGCATCCTCTCCTCACATTTAATGAGCAGTCCCCTGTGTGCTACTGTGACTCAAGGATTGTCTCAAATGTTGTCATGTTTTCCATCTAGACATTCATTTGTCCAAGAAATATTGAAATATTTGCTAATTTGAAAAAAAATGCTTCCAAGCTCGTTTTACAATCTTACATTGTTTTAAACACTGACCAAAGTACAATTTGTATTAAAAATGTGCCAGGTTCTTTAATTTTGGAACATTCTCCAGGGGTGCCAGAGTATACATTGTAATTTTACGGAATGCAGTGCAATTGTATTACTAATAGTATACAACTTGCAATTTTACAGAATACAGTGCAATCACATTGGTATACAGTGCAATTTTACAAAATACAGTGCAATCGTATTAGTATACAGTGCACTGTGCACAGTGCAATGTTACTAGCAAAATTGCACTGTATACAATACCATTGTACTGTATTCCGTAAAATTGCACTGTATACTAGTAAATTTTTTGCACTGTATTCCGTTAAATTGCACTGTATTTCGTTAAATTGCACTGTATTCCGTTAAATTGCACTGTATTCCATAAAATTGCACTGTATACGCTGGCATCCCTGTTCTCTGTTTGCCAATTAATAACATTAAATTTGAGACAGCCGTAGAGTCACGTTGGCGTCGCCCCCATGTCTACTTACCACTGAGTCATACGAGCATCAAACTCATCAAACCTTCTGGGAACATCATCGAGGGTTAGAGTTCCTGGTAGGGCACAGTGGGGGGGGGGAGTATTGGGGAGGGGGGCAAGGTGTTGGTTAGTATCATAAATATCATCAAGAAATGTTAACACATACATGTACTTATAGGTTATAGGTATTTATGATAGATCATCATTCACATGTTTATACATCATACACTAAAAGATTTGTTAAAATTAAATCCAAAACATGTTTAATTAAATTCTACACCACAAATTAGTCAACACCATTGATGCTACACAATGTAGCTGCACAAAATATGGTAATGATGAAAATGGTATAAAATCATTTAGAGGTTAGCTGTTAAACACAGAGGAGAAAAGGCAAGTTGTAATAATATAATTGAGAGTTCAACAATAATAATGACAAAACTACTGTATACTATCACAGTCATCATTAAACAAACCCTATATTCTCAGTTTATTCTATTGAGTCCTACTCATAAGGCAAATCTTTACAAAGAAAGAACTTTCCAAGAATTTTACTCCTCAAAGTTAACTTCTCCACTCTGGAAATTGCTGTTCCATAACTAATCTATATTTCAGGGTGTTGAATGAATTTTCCATCAGAGATTCAATTTAAACCCACAGACCTGTAACCAGCAAAGACACAAGGCAGCAAAATGTTACAAAGAAAGAATTTTTTTCTTCAAAGTTTTAACTTAGTTTGAAGTTAAAACTTCTCCACTCTGGCGAATGCTGTACCTTGTCCATGACTAATCTATATTTCAGGGTGTAGAATGAATTTTCCATCAGGGATTCAATTTAAACCCACAGACCCGTAACCAGCAAAGATACAAGGCAGCTAGTATTTCACACTGCCAGGCTGACCTGTGCACCTTACTGATCAATATGGCCAGCTGAGGCACATAAATGTCTTAGAGCTTCTTTTCAAGAGTTTCATGTAGTATATTAAGAGTTAGATTTAGATTCAAAGGACCTCTTTTATGCACTTTGATAGAGACTATTGTATGAGCTATCAGTATCATGATGACACTTAGACTTAGACTTAGGGGCTCCTGTGTCTTTGGACGAATGAACCTTCCAGCAAGTTTGGTCAATGGCCATTCCCTCTACATTCTTCTAGTTCAGGTTTACTGTTTGCAGGTCCTTTTCGATTGTTTATTTGTAATACACCTTGGGTTGACCACTGATGGGGTCCCATTTTAAGACTGGCTATGCTAGTCTGACTGGTAGACAGATATTTATAAGTTGAATATGATCCATGATATAAGTATGACATGATCATGAGAGACTTTAACATGATAACTTTACATAGCAAACTAAACTTGGACAAAAGCTACTAGACAGGTTTCTCAGTGAAACTTCTACTAAGTTCTAGAGTGAGATTTTTGCTAGCTCAAATGGTTTCTGCCTCAGTATCTACTTTTCCCCCAAAGTTGCCCCTCCCTTACAAATTAGAGATGTTTACAAATTAAACTAAATCTACTAGTTTGCCAATGAAACTGTTAAGTGAGATCTTTGGGAAGCTCAACAGTTTCTGCTTTGGAATTCGAATCTACTTTTTTTGCTTTCCCCCAAAGTTGCCCCTCCCTTACAAATTAGCGTTCCTCTCCAAATGAGCGTCCTTGACTGCATGTGCAGCTGGCAGGATAATCTTGGCATGTATATTGGAGATAAAATCATAAAGAGACATTTACAAAACAAACTAAAATTAGACATACATGTAGCTACTAGCCTATCAATGAAACTTCTGAAGTGAGATCTTTGCTGCCTTAGTGATTTCTGGAGCACATGAAATTATAACATGATCATGACAGAGAGAGAGAGATCTTTACAATACAAACTAAACTTGCACAAAAGCTACTGGTTCGTCAATGAAACTTTTAATTGAGATTTTTCTGCCTCAGAATCTACTTTTGCGCTCCCCAAAGTTGCCCCTCCCTTACAAATTAGCGTTCCTGTCCAAATGAGCGTCCTTGACTGCAGGTGCAGCTGGCAGGATAATCCTGGCATGTATATTGGGCCGTAACAATGATCAGCAACCTACTTTAAACACCAACACCGCCGAGCAAACCGAAGGCAGCAAATCCCCAGATATATCACTACCAAAACATCCAATCTCCGGCGACTTAAAACGACAATCCTCTCCACACCGGCTGGATGCCGGAAGGCCTGGGAAAAAAATATTGCGTTTCCTGTTTCAGTCCTGGAAAAATTAAGGTCGGTAGGTAGGAATTACTTAGTATCTATTTTTTTCCTTTTTCATTTACACTTCAGTGAGTGAGTATTAGTATACAGTGCACAAACCGGACAGTGAGTGAGTCAAGTGAGTGATACACAGTATCTATATAGGGGTCCAAGTTACACAAACAATACAGTTTAACAAAGTAAAACTTGCATAAGGACACTTTTATTTTCAATGTCAATGTTAGAAAAACAATTGTACCACATTTTATCACTCAGCTGTAAGACCATGGAGCTAGAAAAGGTTGACTTGCTCGAAAATTTCTGTCCCTTGCAGGGGTCCTCCCCCCCAAAAAAGTCTAGGGTCGGCAGTTTTTTTCTATGCTCAGTCGGGAAACAGGAAGGACAACATTTTTTTCCTAGGCCTAACTGACGAAAAGTAGAAAAAAAGATTCCTACCTATATACCTACCAACCCAAATTCTTTCAGGACTGAAACAGGAAACACAACATTTTTTTCCTGGGCCTAACTGACAAAAAGTAGAAGAAATAAATTCCTACCTACCGATCCAAATTCTTTCAGGACTGAAACATGAAACCCAACATTTTTTCCTAGGCCTAACTACACAAACTACAACTTTTCCAATTAAGGCAATCTCTCGCCATCGATATGAGTCGACGTTCGGAGACATTTATATTCATAAAACAGTTCCCAGAGCCCAGCTTTAGTTATTTCACCCTGTCGAGATCCTGTAATGGGACATGTGGATATCTGATGAAAGGCACGATCTATTTTTCTATAGTATTGAGCGCGTACGGGGTGAAATATGACTCCAGTTGTGCCGGTACTGAACTGCTGGTTCCCAGTAGTACAGAATCGGAGGAAAGCAATTATAAGAACAAGGATTTAGAACTTTCTGCTATCTGACTTGTTTAGTTGGTACATTTATCACTTGTTCTGTTCATGAATAATGCAGTTCAGTACTTTTTTTTCTGTTGTTCAAGACTTTAAATCTTTGAGAAACAACAAGAAATTGAAGAATTGTCAGGAAATGGTAGTTACGGCATCAAGGAAAGCACTTAAAAGAACAAGGATTTAGAACTTTCTGCTATCTAACTTATTTGGTTGCTACATTTATCACTTCTCGTGATCATGAATAATGTAATTCTGTCCTTTTTTTTTCGTTGTTCAAGACAGTCACTTTAAATCTTTGAGAAACAACAAAAAGTTTTAGATTGGTCTTGGATGAGTGACTGTGGTATTCAAGGAGGTCTCTATGAATACAAGGCATTTCAGGGTTACTACTGGTCATATATGTATGTCCCCTTAGTGTCCTTGCCTGGTTTTATCACTGACCAGTGCAGATTAGGTGCAGGTATACATTGTACATCAGAAATACACCACGTCCACTCCAATTTTAACAACTGTTACACTAACCTGCATTTGCAGGTGGTACTGTACAAATGCATGCATTTCAAGCCTGAATATGCATTATGCTATGTTTGCCTTTGCTGTGAGTCATATCTAAGTGTCATATAAACAGGATACAAATTGATAATGCTTTGTTCCTTTGTTTGCAGTTGAATAAGTCTTAAAAGGGATCATCTTACATAATTAGGGTTATACCTGGGAATGAATAGCACCCTCTACAACGACTATAAATTTCTGAACCAGCTAATAGCAACATTAATTGGGCCATAAATACAGGAATGCAATAATAACAGTTCCCTACAACTAACTCACATCAGATTCTACAGTTGAAACTAGAATTTCAGGTATTTCTGTATCAGATGTGATTTTGTTGGATGGGGGACATGTACATGTAAAACATGTGGCTATCATTAAGGCCATACAGACTTGCATTGATAATATGAAATGACATCTGCGTGTGAAGAATTTTTTCCTTTAGAAGGAAGGCAATTCATTTTCCTGCCTTTTTTTGCACACTTGCATCACTTTTGAGGTGTCCAGAGGATGTCATCTACACGTATATATTAATCAAATCAGTAAGGCCTAAAAATAAAATGATTGCAAATCTCTTACTGCTGTTGAATTTGTCTGAACAGGCACAAATGGAACACACTGGTCTTTACTTATGACAAAATACATATTACACCCAAAACAATATGAAATGTAACAATCTCTTACTGCTGCCGAATCTGTGAGGCTGCATGGGCCTTGCCGGGTACATCCGGAAGACGCCTGTCTGACTAGCGAAGGCCTGCCACGGTAACTTATCCTGGTTCTGCTGCCAGTTGTCAATAAACACTGAGTCCAGGTGGGACGACCACGAGATCACATTCAGCACATGGGCATCTGGGGGAACAACAGAAATTACAGAAGGTTTATACATGTAATATTCATATGTTTATCTGTTAATAATTTGATCAGTATGGAATGAAAGTTCATCTGTGTTGGTAGTTACATGTTTAAAGTTAAACTTTTGATCCAACACATAACAATATCAGCATATATCCCCACTTTAGCCATGGAAAGGCAGCAACAGTAATTTCAGCACCAAGGAGAGGTTTCATCCTGGTAGCAGGTAAAGTTAGTCTCGTAGCTTTTTTGAGGCCGTAGGGGCAGTGGGGTGTTAGTCCACTGTGTCTGGGGCACAGTATTGGAAGGTGGAGCCCATCACTTTCCTTCCACCGTCTTTTACCTCCACAACCGAAGTCAGGTACCCATTTAACACCTGGGTGGAGTGAGGAAATAAATGTGAAGTGCCTTTCCCAGGGCATTCGAACCCGGGACCTCTTGGTCCTGAGCCAAACACGCTACCACTAAGCCACACGACCCCTATGTCATAAGTAAACATGTGGAAACTTCATACTGTACCTTGTTCATAGATGTTGACCGGTATGTGTATAGAGCTGTTGGTGCGGTTAGTCTGTCCTCCCAGCCACTCCCAGACAGATGTTGGTTAGCTTGACGAACTCTACTTTGTCTTAAGGACTGTAACCCTTATTAGGAGCATGCATGCATACATGTAGAAAGAAGTTTAACTTAATGTGTAGAATTGTACCTTGTTCATAGATGTTGACCGGTATATGTATGGAACTGTTGGTGCGGTTAGTCTGTCCTCCCAGCCACTTGTCCTCGGTCAGACCGGGCAGTCTGTGGTCAGGGTTACCGTCCATGGCACTGTAGTAAGGTACATCTGCAACCTGGCAGGAGTAGAAACTTTGTGGTCAGTCTTTAAGGTTAACAACAAAACATAACATAACAAACTATCAGGGGTCAAAAATCTAATCATCAAGACCTGGATACCTATCAAACATCAAGATCATCCATGTAAGCCTCCTCAAGTTATCGTGTTTAAACACACAAACACACACACACACACACACACACACAGACACACACACACACAAATACACGCACAAACACACACACATGTACACACATAAATACACGCACAAACACACACACACACGCCCACACACGTACACACATGTGCGCACACACTAAAACACACACAATCACACACACACACACACATTCAAACGCACACACCTGAATGCTATTTCTTGAAACTCATGATCTAAACCCCTCTCAATTGTTACACTATAGCAAAGACAACATGCTAGCCCTCACAGTTTTAGTAATTAGAATTTTATTTCATTTATTACCTCTTTTCGTACTGTGTTCAATACTTGTACATTGTACCATGTACAATTGCTGTGCAGCAAAGTTCTACTTTAAGTACATTTTGTATCATAGGTATCATAGGTATTGGTCTAAATCCATACCAACCCGACATGGCCTCTACTTTCTACACACACACAGGGGGACTGACATTACCGACAAGTTATGGACCATTTAAACAGTGACAGATTTCATCTTTCTTCATTACAATAAATGGGTGCTAAACAACGCCTCGGATGAGCATTATCCGATGGCAAACGCCCCCGGCACAATACATAACACTTGCAGATTACACCCATTGTGACAGTCGTGATTTTTTTTTTTTTTTTGTAAATCAGAAAAAAATTAAGAGGTGGATCCAAGAACCAACAAATCAAATTGGTGTGGCCTTAGGATGCTTAGTTTTATTTACTACAATGCCTTTTTTGTATAGTTGTTGCCATACATTTTACCGTGTAGGATTGTCCTGCCATAAAATTCTATCCTTGTTCTATCTACTTTTTTGTATCATTTTCTTCTTAGGTTTTGGTCTAAATCCATACCAACCTGACATGGCCTCTACTTTCCACACACACGCACACAGGGGGACTGACATTAGTGACAAGTTATGGACCATTTAAACAGTGACGAATGTCATCTTTCTTCATTACAATAAATGGGTGCTAAACAACGCCTCGGATGAGCATTATCCGATGGCAAACGCCCCCGGCGCAATACATAACACTTGCAGATTACACCCATTGCGGTGATTTAGATGGAGCAATTTGCGGCTGGTTGCATGTGTCGCTGGGTACTTAGGGCCATCATCGATTCTACAGCCTCCCCAATTATGGGACTCTTGGATCGCCCGCCGGGTTTGAGAGTGTACCTAGAAGTAATTACATTGATTTTGTCCTGTCAATCCATCAATCCTGTATGGGCCACACAGATGGGATTCAACGGCTACTGAATGAAAAATTACAGACTATATATTAGGTCAGTTTCATTACTTGAGCCAATTTATGGTTTTTTAGATATTAAATATATGTTCAACTACAGATTATGTTAGTCACTGACGAAAAGAAGTGGGTTACATTGATTTTGTCCTGTCAATTTATCAATCCAGCTAGGGCCACACAGATGGGATTCAATGCCTTAACTCATTACTTGAATCTGTTTAAAAAGACTTTGAGGTCAGTTTCATTACTTGATTTTCAATCATGGTATTTGGATAAAATAACTCTCCAACTACAGATTATGTTTAGTCATTGACAGAAAGTAGTGGATAACATCAATTTTGTCGTGTCAATCCATCAATCCAGGTGGGATTCATTGGCTTGTTACAATTACAATTTTGAAAGATTTATGAAGGTTCTCCACACAAAAAACATGCCTACACTGGTTTAAAGGCAGTGTAGGGGGCTAAATCACAGCGTAGGGGGTCAAAGCAAGGTGTAGAGGCCCCTTCACTCAAACAGCCTAGTGAGAACTATCAAGGTGTTCATTTTTACAGTCCTGTCCTGGGGCCTTCTTCTGATTTCTTCAGATATAGGATCATTTCACATTGAAAACATAATTATGTTAAATCCAGAGTGTTAAAACTCATATTCCTAATATCTTACAGGCATTCATCGCTCTAAAGCTTATTTTAGTGATAGATAGGACTCTAAAAGTTGTAAATCTATCAGTTCGAGGTTTTCATTTTCACGGCCCTGTCCTGGGGCCTTCCTCTGACGGCCTTCAAACTTAATCCCCGGAAAATTAGGAAATTGTTCCGACCTCCGGGCAGGGAGGGAGGAAATTAATCAGACCCGAGAAGCGACCTGAAACTTGCTAAAGGCCAGCCGGAAAACCTCACACGTCACAAGCTAGGGCTGGAAATACTGGGTGTATGTGCTCCTTAGTGCACCCAAATTTGGAGCTGTGCACCCAATTTTTTTTCTGCAGTGTGCACCAGTGCACCTAAATGTTTTCTTAGGTTTTCGTATGTAACCCTAACCCTAACCCTGAAACTTGCTACAGTTTAGCCGGAAAACGTCACAGTCACACATCACACAATAAAGCCTTAGAAGGCCCTTGAAAAAGCTGCAGACTCTAGCCCTTTTTTGCAGCCTGTTGCTTCATATTTTTATTTTATGCCCTGTTGCTTCATATTTTTTGGCCCTGTTGCTTCATATTTTTTTCTGAAAAATTCTGAGAACCAACAAATTAAATTGGTGTGGCCTTACTGGTATTCACACTGAGTCAATGGATAATTTCCAGGACCATCCGCAATTTTACCAGATGGGGAGAGATTTCATTTGAGGCTGCTGAAATGTCATTAACTCTTCGCAATGTCATCAGTTTGGAGAAGGCTATGCTATTGTGTCATCAGTTTGGAGAAGATTATGCTACAATGTCATCAGTTTGGAGAAGATTATGCTACAGTGTCTTCAGATTTGTAAATGTTGACAAAGATGCAGGTTTTTAATGGGATTTGAGGTATTAATTTGACAAATCTGTACTGAATTCTTACTTAACCCTTGCCCTTACCTTTGCCCTTAATGGCAGTGGTGAAATTGATTTTATATAAAGCCAATAAAGCAATAAACCAGCAGATGCATCATAACTGGTAGCTTTGATATTTTTAGCCTAATATCCTTTTCGATGTCAAAACTGGTTAGTTTCATGGATTAACTAGTCTACTGAACGCAATGCAAGTGGAAAATTATCCTTCCTCTCCAAACATACATGTACATCTGCAAGTATTTAGTAACATTGCCAACGCGATAATACACCAAAGGCTTCATCTCTTTGTTTACGTGAATTTGTTTCTTGTAACAATTTCAGTTCAGAAGTAATTACAAGTTACAATGTCAATGCCAAACAGATATGATTGTAGATTTTATAGAGCACAAAATTTGCTAAAACTACATTTTTCAAAATCTAGATTTTAAATATCTATGTAATATTTTGATTAGAATGTTTATTTCTTTTCTACTTTTCATCACTCTCATTTTTCTTACTTCTTCTTCAGATGTCAAAACTGGCTAGTTTCACAGATTAACTTAGTCTACTGAATGCAGTGCAACTATCCTTCCTCTCTGAATCTCCCCAATCTAAAGTACACTTGCAAGTCTTTAGTAACATTGCTAACACGATAACACACGAAAGGCAGCCACTGGACTGGAATAACTGATTACACCCCTGTCACAGTAATCTGATCAGGGATCACGGCACCATCAATTCTAATTAAGTGTCAATCCTGCCTAATTCGGGACGAAGAATTCATCGCAGTAATTTGATTACGGCCCGGAATAGACAATAACAGATGGCAAAAATCAGACGTATTTGTCACGGTGATTCACCTGCTGTACTGTAAGTCGTATAACTTTTGCCGTGATGTTATTTTTGTGATTTTTTTGATGTTCATTAGTAGTCAGTAGTTACTGTAGGCATTTGTCAGATCGTAGGACCACGGATAGTACTTAATGTTTGTTTCTTCAGCTTTATGCATCTGAGTTTGGAAGCAAGTCATCATGAATTCATAATACCATAAAATTAATATGTCTCCCTTCTACAGAATTGTTTCCACTTTAAATTAAAATTAAGAACACTGTGATCACTTACCTTTTCCTCTTACCAAAGAATGAAAATAAAAATACTTCAAAATTTTAACGAAGAAAAAGTAAATATAAACAGAGCCCATGCTTTATAGAGTTACGAAGTTGGAGTGTTTCCAACATTATGTCTATCTGCATTTTGGATGGGACAGAACGAAAATTGGATAAATTTTCCGGAACAGTTGGCACACCTCACCCCATCTACAGTATGATTAAAGCTGGAATTGTGCACTAATGAGGAATTATGCCATAATTTGCCGGTCTTGAAAAAACTGCTGGAGCTTAGCCCATAGGGAAAATGACATCACCTTACTGGAACTATTGGTAGAATTTTCCCATGTGAATGTATGATCTGTAGGACAACGTTTAATTCTTTCAAAGTAGTAAAGGGTTTGAGGCTCTATTGTAGGTGAGAAAACTGGAAAATCATTGTAAAACATAGTACCGTACATTTGTCATTCTGTCACATTGCAATCTATATTTAAGCCCAAGTGCAACCAAGCACATTATGCCTTAAGCTAGTCTGGTACTCTTACTAGACCCAAAGCTTATTTTAAAATAATTTTGTTTTCTGCGAATATCACTTTTGAGAAATGTGACAATTTTGGTAAATTCAATTCATTTTGGGAAGAAATAACCAAACATTATCCTTGCAGTGCTACAACAGGGGCCTTAAAGTTAAACTGGAGAGTGGCAATAACATTGTAAGGTGTGACTTGGTAATTACAGTAGCTTCTATAGGTTAATCCTGGATACCCCTATTAAAATGGCCCATCCCCATGCAGCTGTGCAGAAGTGTTACCTTGATGCTCTGGTTGTAGTTATGGTTGGCAACGGCTTCCTCAGCTGCTTCTGACAGACTCTACAGATTGGGAAAAAGAAATATTGATGATGTTAATATGCATGTTTAATATATAGATATTCCCTGGTTTAATCTAACAAAATGCAGTTTTATATAAGCAATTCCTTTTTTGTTTACATCTTGTAAATTCAAATCATTTGAAGACATTAATGCTAGGAAAATCACTCAACTGTCACCCCCCTTTTTGCCTGCCACTCACTGCCTGTGACATGATGGCAATTGCTCTTTATAATCACAACAATAGCTCCAGTTGTATGCATGTCATATGATATGTACATGTACCAACTTGGCTGGAACCAAGATATATGTTGGGATGAATTTAAACAGACTTAAACAAGTGCAATATCCTATGATATATATCTAATCTTCCTGCACAGAAAGAGAAAAACCAGGACCATAATCCCCTGTCATTGGAGGGTCTCTGGGGACCAGTTGAGGACTGCAAACTTCAGCAGCAGCTATTGCTGATCTAATTAGCTGATAACGACTATAATTAGTTTGATCAGGGAACCGTGCTAGTCCCACGGGAGGTACCAACCTGGCTGTGCTGTAGGGGGGTAATTAAAGAAAGGGAAGCATTATGACTGTTTTCCCTGAAGACCTAAGTTTTCCCTTGCCTGGTTACCTATTTTAGCTGCCAAGTGCTAATTCCGGTCCTCTATTTGCAGAGAGGCTGTAGGACTCAGGAGCTAAAATACATGCAGGTTAGGTAACCACAATACTTTCCATAGGAGCTTTAGGACAATTTTATTGATAATTTCCTAGAACAACCTTTTCTAGAAATCGTTTAACTATAATTGCAAACACATACTTTTAATTCAACTATCTTTGTTGGGACTTAGTTCATGGTAGGAGGGGAAGTGGGTTTTGTGGTGTTTCAAGTTCATGGTCAAGACTGTTCTCTTGGACTTAGTCTAGTAAAATTACAATGGAAACAGACAAGTGCATTTTCATGAGGCCAATTAACTTGGAAATAAAAACCAATGCAAACAGTTGAAGAGCTACCATATCTTTTCAGTTCGTTTGTGAACAATCACCTGGAATTCAGCACCAGGGACAGAACCTGGGATGTAATATTATGGATCTGCATCAACAATATTTTGTTGAATAGAAAAGTAAATTTTACTTCACATATTAAGCAGTAAAAGGTCTCACAAATTTCAGGAACACATTCAAAGTTGCTAACCAATGGTTCTTCATGTTATATTATAGATGGAAAAAGGTATTCACTTTCTGTGAAAACTATTCCATTGGAAAACTTGGGGGGCATCTACTCTAAATCTATCTTTGATGTCTTGAAATGTTTAATTGATCTTTCCCCTTTTTGTGATTAAAGGAAACAAACAAACAGGGAAACAAATATACAGATTGCTGTATTAGCTTGCTCATGATATTTCTTAAAACTAGCTCACACTTCTAGCAGAAAGTTTAGATGTAAGGTAAACAGATAATTCTGTTAGGCAGGCAGAAATGTATGCCTGCAGGCACAGCTCCACAAACTGAAGCATCTGTTATCAGTGATTACACAGATAACAATCTTCCACAGTAGCCACAAAATCCTGCCCTACAGCAAACATCCCCACCTCTGGTAACACTGACACTTATGCCAACTCACAGGGGAACTGGGAGGATTTAATGAGATTTTGCGTTGCAGAGTTTTAACAAAAAAAAAATCAAAGAATGTGTACAGTAGTTTGTAGTAATAACAGTAAATAGTTCAGTTTTGTATTATTGTTATCTTACTGCCATACATTGTAACATGTACAAAATGTATAATTGACAAGCAATAATGTTAATTCATTCATGTAACATTATGTAGCTCATAGAAATATCTAAAAGGTTTCTTGAAGTCCTTGTTTTATTCAATATTGTGAATTTCAGTGATTACACAGATGGCAATCTTCCACAGTAGTCACAAAATCCTGCCCTACAGCAAACATTCCCACCTCTGGTAACACTGACACTTACTCCAACTCACAGGGGAACTGGGAGGATTTACTGTGATTTGGTGTTGCAGTTAACAAAAAATCAAAGAACTTGTACAGTAGTTTGTAGTAATAACAGTAAATAGTTTATAGTATTGTTATCTTACTGCCATACGTTGTAACATGTACAAAATGTATGATTGCCAAGCAATAACGTTAACTCATTCATGTAACATTATGTAGCTCATAGAAATATGTAAAATGTTTCTTGAAGTCCTTGTTTTATTCAATATTGTGAAGTTCAGTGATTACACAGATAACAATCTTCCACAGTAGCCACAAAATCCTGCCCTACAGCGAACATTCCCACCTCTGGTAACACTGCCACTTATGCCAACTCACAGGGGAACTGGGAGGATTTAATGAGATTTTGCGTTGCAGGGTTTTAACAAAAAAGTAAAGATCTCATAGTTCATAGAAATATGTAAGGTTTAACACAAGAAATTCAAGCACAGGATGGATTTTGGAAACTGTCAGATGTTTCAAGTAGCATCCAGCATCCACTATTTTTCATCACTGACACTGACTGTTTTCAAAGTGTGTCCAGTTGCTTGAGTTATTATATTTGTGTATCTAATTACCTGGATGTGTAACCTTCATCTACATATCTAAGGTATCTGTGAATTTCTTATATATACATTAGAAATGAGATAACCTTTTCTTGGACCTTTGGCCCTACTTCCAGTCAGTGTCCATGATGTGTCTAGCATGCTAAAATAACTATGACTGCAGATTTCTATAGCTTGACTGTTACAGGTCATGTTAAACCTTCTCCCTGCTACATGTACCTAACCTTACTGCAAATACAACTTTGCATCGAAAAGCAGAAAAAGGCTCAAATTACATCCATTTTACCAAATTAAAAATGCACAAACATCATCAACTTTCAAATCAAGTTCAATTATTATAATACACTTACAAACATCAAGAACAAGCATTTTAGACCTGACAACATTTTTTTTCTTCCTCCGGAACATATTGATCTTGAATTGAAATAATTGCTTCCGCCAAAGCACAACCAATATTTCCCACACTTATGCAAACTGTAAATCTATTAGTAATGATTAATTTTGTACATTGTACCTGCCAGTGGCTGGCAGCAATTAAGTTTCAGCAACAGAACTTTATGTGTCAGGGATTGAAATTCATTTTTGGGAATACCTGTAGGTGCACTGGTGCACCCAACCTAAAAAAATTGGGTGCACAAAACTTTTTTTGGATGCACCATATGAAACAAAACCTAATTGCAGGTCTTACTGCTCCTCTTCTGACGTAACTTCAAATCTTAAACAAGTACTACAACAAAGATTTTATTATTTTTCTAATACTCAGAAACCAAGAATATCCGGTATACTATTATACATTTCTAATGCTAAAAATTCCTACAAAAATATTTGGCGCACCAGTGCACCCACAGAAAATAATTGGGTGCACAACTCCAATTTTGGGTGCACATGCACCCAGTATTTTGAGCCCTGTGTGTAATACCTACACAACATCATTCTGTCAGCCATCATAAATCAATGTGTATTTCCTGGCAAGAACATAATTCTAGCCCATTAGCTGACTGGAAGGACCGGGGGCATTTTTCTTACTAAGCCGAAGCAATTAGATCGCTTGTGTTGACGGTCTGAAAAAAAATATTTTATGCAGTGACACTGGAAAATCAATGACAAAACAGAGTTGGGGAGAAAATTCAGTACTACATAATACAATTATTATAATACTACAGAGCTAGAAATAGTGGGTACATGTTATGCATTTTTAATGCACCCAAAATTGGACCTGTGTCTCTAATTTCTGTGGGTGTACTGGTGCGCATATTCAATTAGATATTTGTGTAGGGCTAGCTTTTTAGGGAAGTGAGCAATTCTTTCCTTCATTACACAATCCTGGTGTAAGCTGGTGTGTTACGTCAAAGGGTGGTTATACCGGCTATACTGATACAATCCACCCGCACAACAACAAAATTCTGTCCAATTCATGGTTGGAGCCAATGTTCTTGCTAGGCTTATCAAGTTGCATCACAATACTGTATTCTCTTGGTCTGAAATATGAAAAATCAAGGGATAATTATCAGTTACTTCAATCTGCAAGTTGATTGATTGAATAAAGTTAAAGTTGAAAGCTGAGCTACATAATGATTGTTCTCTTAAGTTTGTAGGTCTGTATTTTGTACCCATGTGTGCATCCATCCATCCACAGTGTTGTTCAGACCAAAGCCGGCAGAATTTAATGGAACACTAAACAGATTGCATAACGTCCCCGATGTAAAACTGATACGTGCCAAAAGGGAGCGTTTAACTTCAGTCTCCTGATATCCTGATTTCAAATAAAACCGCTACAAACATTTGAAGGTCTACTGTATCTTTTAAGTTCTTTTGCAAACAATCATCCATAATTCAGCACCAGGGACAGAGCTTAGGATGAAATATTTGAGCCTGCATCAACAGCATTTAGTTGAACAGAAAATTTAATTTTACTTCACATATTTTTACTTCACACATTTTTACTTCACTTCACATATACTTCACATACTTCATAATTTGTACCCATGTGTGCACCCATCCACAGTGTTGCTGAGACCAAAGCCGGCAGAATTTAATGGAACACTAAACAGATTGCATAACGTCCCCGATGGAACGTTGATACGGGCCAAAAGGGAGCGTTTAACTTCAGTCTCCTGATATCATCGCCATCAAGCTTTCAATTTCCGCTCAAATCGCAACAATCTGGTCTTTCGGGACCGCGCGCGTGACGCATGACGGGTTTGCAGGGAGCATTTTTCTTTGTGGAAAGGATTTAGATCGAGCCCTCAGGAACTCTAAACTTGTCAGTACATGTAAGTTTCTGAGAAGTATGAATCTGTTTGCATTATGTGTTATTTGATATCAACACTTTAGCTAGGTGGCAGGCGAATTCAAAAGTTTTATTGCACAATTCTGAAAGGAAAGAAAAGGGAAGAAATATCCGACACATTTTGAAGAGCCAGTGCCAACAAATTCATTCCAGAGA